TCACCCACAACTAAATAAATACTGAATAATTGTATCTCATAAATGTTTAACCTGTGACCCAATCAAACTTTGTTATTTTTAATTACATTATCTAACAGAATACTCCATTCTACTGAATGCACAGCAACACAGTAAATGACCATATGACCTGCCTTTGAAATACTCATTTGTGCTTAATTCTCATCTGTTTACAATAATGTTTACCACTGAATATATCATTGCTTAGTTAATCTTAAGTTAATTTTAAGCCTGCCCATAATGCTCTGCATACAAGGGGCTTTGGCATGTTACAGTTAACCACTGCATTTTTTTGTACTTCAATGTATCATGTTCAAATTAATAAATAAATAATAAATAAATAAAAGAGATGCTCAGAATACAACAGTTTAGAAGCATATAAGTATAAAGATACACAACATATCCCCCCAAACTGCCAATATCCCAAACCCCTCCTTTAAAGTGCAGGCACTGTACTTCCCATTTCCAGGACTCAAGTCAGGCTATATAAAAATAACCAGTTTCACTGAATCCCTTCACTAAATATTACCCTGCTCACACTCCAACAGCTCGTCAGGTCCCAAATACCATTCATCTCCATTCATTCCTATCTAACACGCTCACGCACGCTTGCTGGAAGTCCAAGCCCCTCGGATTTAGAGCAACCTTCTGGAACGGATTAAGCTCGAAAACCGAGGGTTCACTGTATTCTATTAGTTCAAGCTATATGGCTTTAATAAGTCTGGTAGAGAAGAATTACAGCTTTCATTATTAACCTAAGGTAGACACAATGGATTGATTAACATTTGAGAGAATTACAGATATTGAGAGTATGTATATATTGATTATAATGCTAGATAAGCCAGCATTTTTAAAACTAGTTAGAAAACACCTTATCTCCTTAACCTATCCCAGCCCATTATTAGTAGTCATCTAAGAAGACATCTTTATGAGCTCATCATTAACAGTGTTGAATAAACAGAAGGATGAATGGGAGGCTTGAACTGCAGTCCATAAATTGACAGTCAGTCGCTCTACCGTCTCAGCTACTGAGTTTCTAAAAGAGAAATTTCAGTAGTAGTACAAACTACATGCTCCTGTCAGAGGCACTAACTGTAACCCAACTGGTGACTTCTCCACAGCCCAAGAACTTTAACAGTAGATCTATTATCACCTTCAACAATACCACCAGTCCGATAACATTCTTCTTTGCAAATATACAGGGTCTAAAGCCAGCAACAAACAACAAAATACCTTTCATCCGTGGACTGCTTGCAGAGGCAAAGGCAATGTTCGCGGCTTTCACTGAGACCCACATAAAGGATCACTTGGACAACGAAATATGGATCCCAGGTTACAACCTATACAGATGTGACAGAGTGAACAGGCAAAAGGGGGGGGTTGGCCTGTACATTGCAGAGTCACTTGTTTGCACAGAACTGCTAAATGCCTCAAATGATGTAGTGGAAGTTTTAGCAGTAAAGGTCGAGAACCAAAACCTAGTCATTGTGATAGTCTACAAGCCTCCGGATGCAACATCCCAGCAATTCCAGGAACAGCTGTTAAAAATTGACCACTGTCTGGAAAACCTTCCAGCTCCTGCACCCAACATCTTGCTCCTGGGGGATTTCAACTTAAGGCACCTAAAATGGAGGAATATAGCAAATAATATTGTTGCAGTAATAACACCAGGAGGCAGCTCTGATGAAAACTCACACTCACGCGAGCTTTTAAATCTCTGCACAAAATTCAATTTAAACCAGCAAATAATAGAGCCTACTAGACTGGAGAATACACTAGACCTCATCTTCACTAACAATGATGATCTGATAAGAAATATCACCATATCAAAAACAATATACTCAGATCACAACATAATTGAGGTTCAGTCATGTATGCGCGGAGCCCCAGACCGACATAATGAGATTAGTCACGAGGGAGCATTCACCAAATTCAACTTCAATAACAAAAACATAAAGTGGGACCAAGTAAACCAAGTCCTAACCGATATAAGCTGGGAAGATATACTAAGCAACACAGACCCCAACTTATGCCTAGAACAGTTAACTCGGTGGCACTCGATGTATGCACAAGGCTTATTCCTCTAAGAAAAAGGAGGAGTAGATGTAAAACAAAAAGAGACAGGCGCTCCCTTTACAGGCGACGGAAAAGAATAACAGAGCGGCTAAAAGAGGTCAATATATCTGAAATGCGTAGGGAGACACTGGTCAGAGAAATAGCAAGCATCGAACTTAAGCTAAAAGAATCCTTTAGGAGTCAGGAATCGCGGGAAGAACTAAAAGCCATAAATGAAATCGAAAGAAACCCAAAGTATTTCTTCTCCTATGCCAAATCAAAATCGAGAACAACGTCCAGTATTGGGCCCCTACTTAAACAAGATGGGTCCTACACAGATGACAGCAAGGAAATGAGTGAGCTACTCAAGTCCCAATATGACTCAGTTTTTAGCAAGCCGCTAACCAGACTGAGAGTCGAAGATCAAAATGAATTTTTTATGAGAGAGCCACAAAATTTGATTAACACAAGCCTATCCGATGTTATCCTGACGCCAAATGACTTCGAACAGGCGATAAATGACATGCCCATGCACTCTGCCCCAGGGCCAGACTCATGGAACTCTGTGTTCATCAAGAACTGCAAGAAGCCCCTATCACGAGCCTTTTCCATCCTATGGAGAGGGAGCATGGACACGGGGGTCGTCCCACAGTTACTAAAAACAACAGACATAGCCCCACTCCACAAAGGGGGCAGTAAAGCAACAGCAAAGAACTACAGACCAATAGCACTAACATCCCATATCATAAAAATCTTTGAAAGGGTCCTAAGAAGCAAGATCACCACGCATCTAGAAACCCATCAGTTACACAACCCAGGGCAACATGGTTTAGAACAGGTCGCTCCTGTCTGTCTCAACTATTGGACCACTACGACAAGGTCCTAAATGCACTAGAAGACAAAAAGAATGCAGATGTAATATATACAGACTTTGCAAAAGCCTTCGACAAGTGTGACCATGGCGTAATAGCGCACAAAATGTGTGCTAAAGGAATAACAGGAAAAGTCGGTCGATGGATCTATAATTTCCTCACTAACAGAACACAGAGAGTAGTCGTCAACAGAGTAAAGTCCGAGGCAGCTACGGTGAAAAGCTCTGTTCCACAAGGCACAGTACTCGCTCCCATCTTGTTCCTCATCCTTATATCCGACATAGACAAGGATGTCAGCCACAGCACCGTGTCTTCCTTTGCAGATGACACCTGAATCTGCATGACAGTGTCTTCCATTGCAGACACTGCAAAGCTCCAGGCAGACATCAACCAAATCTTTCAGTGGGCTGCAGAAAACAATATGAAGTTCAACGATGAGAAATTTCAATTACTCAGATATGGTAAACATGAGGAAATTAAATCTTCATCAGAGTACAAAACAAATTCTGGCCACAAAATAGAGCGAAACACCAACGTCAAAGACCTGGGAGTGATCATGTCGGAGGATCTCACCTTCAAGGACCATAACATTGTATCAATCGCATCTGCTAGAAAAATGACAGGATGGATAATGAGAACCTTCAAAACTAGGGAGGCCAAGCCCATGATGACACTCTTCAGGTCACTTGTTCTATCTAGGCTGGAATATTGCTGCACACTAACAGCACCTTTCAAGGCAGGTGAAATTGCCGACCTAGAAAATGTACAGAGAACTTTCACGGCGCGCATAACGGAGATAAAACACCTCAATTATTGGGAGCGCTTGAGGTTCCTAAACCTGTATTCCCTGGAACGCAGGAGGGAGAGATACATGATTAATACACCTGGAAAATCCTAGAGGGACTAGTACCGAACTTGCACACGAAAATCACTCATTACGAAAGCAAAAGACTTGGCAGACGATGCACCATCCCCCCAATGAAAAGCAGGGGTGTCACTAGCACGTTAAGAGACCATACAATAAGTGTCAGGGGCCCGAGACTGTTCAACTGCCTCCCAGCACACATAAGGGGGATTACCAACAGACCTCTGGCAGTCTTCAAGCTGGCACTGGACAAGCACCTAAAGTCAGTTCCGGATCAGCCGGGCTGTGGCTCGTATGTTGGTTTGCGTGCAGCCAGCAGCAACAGCCTGGTTGATCAGGCTCTGATCCACCAGGAGGCCTGGTCTCAGACCGGGCCGCGGGGGCGTTGACCCCCGGAACTCTCTCCAGGTAAACTCCAGGTAAAACTCCAGATTAAGTTGTAATACACAATTGCCAATGAATAAACCAAAGGATGGATCTGAATATGAGATAAAAGTTGTGTCATCTGCAAACAGAAAGAGTTTTAGTACCTGAGATGCATTGGCAGGCCACTGATATTAATTAGGAAAAACAGAAGACCAAGGACATTGCCCTGAGGCACCCCTATGTTAATGTGTTGTATTATTGATGAAACAATATGAGTGTTTGCCATCAAGTTTAAGAATCAGGATGTTGTGGTATACTGTATCAAAAGCATTCCTTAGGTCTTTAAAGAAGCCCATTAGATTTTTACTATTTTCAAGCAATGTATAAATTAGGCATCATTTGTAATTTCCCTTGGCCTAAAACCAAACTGGCAGTAATTAAGTACTATTGTGGAGCACTAAAAAAGAGTAAACTGGTTTTTATACATTTGTTTTTTTAATATTTTAGATACCAATGGTATGTTAGACATGGGCATGTAGTTGCTGACACTGGCTGGGTCTCCTCCTCTATGTATTGGAATAATCCTTGCTATCTTAAGAATGCTTGGGAAAATTTTGTTTTTTAATGATATGATGAACAATGATGCAATGGTTGGTGACAACACATGTTCATGGTAAATTAGCTAAGTTTCCTGCTTTGCTTTTTAGTGAATTTATTATTGAAGCAACCTAAGTAGGATGACCTGGAGCTCAATATAGAGCTTAGTACAGTATTGCTCATACATATCAAGAACTTGTCAACAAATGAAAACATGTCTTACTCACCTTCCACAAACACTTGATTGTTATCCAGCTTTACTGTAATTCTGGGCTGTTCAATAGCCTGCGTTAAGTCATTATCTCGAAACACCACTTGTGCTACTACCTGGACTGCTGCACCAACCTCCGGGGCGGCCAGTACAACTCTTCTCCCACACACCTGACAAACATTTTGGTGTACAGGGTCAACTTCACATTCAAATAAATATCAGAAAAGAAGTAGAACTCGATATGAACAGATGTCCCAATTCATATGGTTGGCAAGCAACCACACATATTATAAAGTAATGAGCAATTCACTCATCCACAGTGGGTCACAACTGCAATGAGTTATTAGTGCAAGTGTTAATACGGTCGGTCTGTCTGTGTCTGTGTCTCTGTCTGTGTCTCTGTCTGTCTCTCTCACACACACACACACACTCACACACACACTCTCACACTCACACACACACACACACACACACACACACACACACACACACACACACACACACACACACACATGCTCTCTCTCACACACACACACACACACACACTCACACACATACTCACACACACTCACACTCTTTCACATACACTCTACACACACACACACACACTCTCACACACACATCTCTCACACACTCTCTCTCACACACACACACTCTCTCTCACACACACCACACACTCACACACAACACTCTCACACACACACACTCTCACACACACACACTCTCACACACACACCACTCTCACACACACACACACACTCACACACACACACACACACACACCTCACACACACACACTCTCACACACACACACTCTCACACACACACACTCTCACCACACACATCTCACAACACACTCTCACTACACACACACCTCACACACACCTCTCACACACACCACACACACACACACAACACTCACAACATATACACACACACACACAAGCAACCCTGTAACCGACATAGTTTCCACCACAAATGATAAGTTCAAAGACCACAACAATGTATCTACCTCATCTTCTAGAAAAATGATAGGATGAATAATGAAAACCTTCAAAACTATGGACGACAAGCCCATGATGATTCTCTTCAAATCGCCTGTTCTCTCTAGGCTGGAATATTGTTGTACACTAACAGCTCCTTTCAAGGCAAGCAAAATTGCTGACCTGGAGAGTGTACAGAGAACTTTCACGGCACATATAAGTACAATAAAGCACCTAAATTACCTCATCCTCCCCCCCTCTCTCCTTCCCTCATCCTTCCCCCTGTCACCTTCCCTCATCCTCCCCCTCTCTCCCTTCCCTCATCCTCCTTCCTTTTGTACCTTACCTTTGAAGAGTTTCAAGAGTTTATCTACTCTCTGAGCCCGCCCATGGGCCAGGCTCGTCTGGTGCTTGCCTGGTCAACCAGGCTGTTGCTGCTGGAGGTCCGCTGCCCCACATATCCATCAGAACCTGGTTGATCTGGCACTTGGTGAAGATACTTGTCCAGTTTCCTCTTGAAGGCTTCTACACTTGTTCCAGCCATATTCTGATATCTTCTGGTAAGATGTTGAATAGTCTGAGGCTCTGGATGTTGATAAAGTATTCCCTTATTGTCCCCACCGCACCCCTGCTCCTCACTAGGTTTATTTTACACTTCCTCCCATATCTCTCACTCCAGTATGTTGTTATGGCAGTGTCCAGATATGGGACCAGGCCCTCAAGTACTTTCCAGGTATATATTATCATGCATCTCTCTCTCCTCCACTCCAGTGAGTACATGATCAAGATTTGAAGGTGTTCCCAGTAATTTAGGTACTTTACTGGCTCAGTGTGAGCCGTAAACAGTCTCTGTATTTGTTCCAACTCTGATATTTCTTCTGCTTTGAATGGAGCCGTCAGCACTGAGCAATATTCTAAGTGAGGAAGCACTAGTGATTTGAAGAGTGTCACCATTGGCATTATTTCTTTTGTTTTGAAAATTCTCAATACCCACCCCATCATCTCCCTGGCTGTCATGATCTTTGTCTTGTTATGGTCTTTAAAAGAAAGGTCAGCTGACATAATTATTCCCAGGTCTTTTACATGTTCCTTACATTCTACTTGATGACCCTCTTGAGTTTTGTATACAGTGTTCCTTTTGAGTTCTTCATTCTTTCCATACATAAGCAGCTGTAACTTATCACCACTGAATGTCACGTTGTTCACTGCCCACTGAATGTCACGTTCTCTACTGCCCACTGGAAAACCCTGTTTATGTCTTCCTGTACTTTTTCAGTGTACTCTACCATAGTAACTTTCATGCTTATTTTAATGTTATCTGCAAATGATGATACAAAAGTGTGCTGGGTGTTTTTGTCTATGTCTGCTATGAGGATGAGAAACAGCAGAGGTGCCAGGACAGTGCCTTGGGGCACTGAGCTTTTGACCTTGCTGATGCTGGATCTTGCCCTGTTCACTACTACTTTTTGTGTTCTTTGTGTTAGGAACCCAAAAATCCATCTGTCTACCTTTCCTGTAATGCCCATGGCCTTCATTTTGTGCGCTATCACTCCATGACCGCATTTGTTAAGCACCTTTGCAATATCTGTGTAAATCACATCTGCGTTTTGGTCATCTTCCAATGCCTCCGTAATTCTGTCATAACGATTCAGCAGCTGTGACAGGCATGATTGTCCTGCTCTAAAACCATGATGGTTTGGGTTATGCTGATTGTGCTGGTCCATGAAATTTGTAATCTGCAGTCTCATCACTCTTTCAAAGATTTTTATGATGTGAGAAGTTAGGGGTACTGATCTGTAATTTTTAGCTAGTGTTCTACTACCTCCCTTAGGCAAAGGAGCTATGTCTGCACTCGTTAAGGCCTCGAGTATTTCACCTAGATCTAAGCTCTTTCTCCAAAGAATGCTGAGTGCTCATGCTAATAGTACTTTACACTTCTTTATAAACAGAGCATTCAATGAATCAGGTCCAGGTGCTGAGTGGGTGGGCATGTTGCCCATTTCTTTTCTTGAAATCTATGGAATTTGTACTAATGTCAGTTAGTTGGTCTGTGCGGCCTTCTTCTGGAGTGAAAAATAATTATGCATTTTCTACCTTGCTGTCATTTAGTGGGTTGCTGAACACCAACTCATACTGTTCATTTAGGATTTCACTCATTTCCTGTTCATTGTCAGTATATGAATCTCCTGTCAGTAGTGGTCCAATTCTACAGGTAGTTCTTAGCTTGGATTTTGCGTAGGAATAGAAACATTTTGGGTTTCTTGCAATATCCTGTATGGCTCTTTGTTCCCTTTGTACTTCTTCTGTGAGGTATGACATCCTAAGTTTTTGCTCTAATTCAGTGATCTCTGCTAAGCGTATATTTCCTCTGTTGTAGCATATTTGTGTTTTTAACCCTTTGAGGGTGGTCACGTACTTGTACACCTAAATTCTAGCGCCTTCAAATCTGGTGGAAGAATGCTGGCAGGCCTACATATGAAAGAATGGGTCTGTGTGGTCAGTGTGTACAGTATAAAAAAAAATCCTGAAGTAAGCTGTACATAATGAGAAAAAAAAAACTTCGACTGTGTTTTTGGTTTAAAACAGTGACTTTCTAGTGAATTTTCGTATGGTATTTATGTTGTATTCTCGTTTCCTTGGTCTCATTTGATAGAATGGAAGATATATTACAGAATTAGAGATGATTTTGATTGGTTTCACGATGACAAGTACCTTGAAATTGAGCTCAAAGTAGCAAAAATGATCGATTTTTGTCAATATTCAAGAGTAGACAAATCAAGCCACGCATCCAATACACGTCAACTGGTGAGTCTAATTTTCTTTCACAAGTGCACTGATATCATTTATTCTGTTTTTACAATGATGCAGCAGTATACATAACAGAAAACTTTCTATTTTCTGTGCGAATAAAAATTCAAAATGGAAAGCAAAAGTAATGTAAGAGGGGCTTAGAAACATGACTAATGAACAGATAAAATGTTATTTTAGTGCCATGAATGTCTGTCTTGTTTATTCTGAACCCTATTTTGAAATTGGCATCTTTTGAAATTTGTGTGAAATTGCCCAAATTGTCAATTTCTGACCACTTTATTGGGTAGTTGAAATCGGTAAATGGGCGGATTCTTGTACTCAATCGATAGAACAAATGGAGTTCTAGGGAAATAGCTATGATTTTAGTCAACTGCAACATTGGAATTGGCCGAAAGTAGGGCCCAAAGTGAGCGAAATCACCAACCTTGAGACCGCAACTTCGCAAGAGCATATTCCGTAAGTTTTTCATCAAATTTCATACTTTTGGTGTCATTATGATTGGAAAAGGATTCTCTATCATTTCATAAGAAAAAATAGTTTTTTTTTTTTTTCAAAAATTTTTTGACCCCGAGAACGAATTTGGGAGAGGGCCTCTCGACCCTCAGAGGGTTAAGCAATTCAGTACCCCGTTTTCTTCTTCTGTACCATCTCCTATGCCCTCCCTCTATATCTGATCATCTTCTGGGTTTCCTCAATGGTACGTGCTACATACATACCTTGTATGCTTCTCTATTCAGCTCCTCTAGGCACTGGTGGGGATTTAGGGTGCTCATGTCTGATTTCCAGGGTATGTCTAATAGCTCTTCGTTTATTTTTTCCCAGTCAATTCTATGGTTGTCAAAATTAAACTTACTGAACATCTTGTCTCTAACATTAGTGATGCAGTTCCCTAACCCTGAGTTAATACTCGTTTGAACTTCTATGATGTTGTGGTCAGAGTATATTGTTTTTGTAACTGTTATGTCTTTGATTAGTTCCTCGTTGTTTGTGAATGTGAAATCCAGGGTAGTTTCATTTCTAGTGAGATCAATTACCTGTTGGTTTAATGAGTATTTTTCACAAAGCCTCATTAGTTCCCTGGTATGTGCCTGTTGAGCCAGGGTGCTTCCCGGAGATATTTCCGGTATAACATTACGTTGCGCCATCTTCCATTTTACATGAGGGAGATTAAAATGTCCAAGGAGTAAAATATTTGGCGTGGGATTTTCTAGCCTATCCACATTGCTATCTATCTTCCTTAGCTGATCTGTGAATTCCTCAGCAGTTGCTGATGATGGTTTGTATACTAGGATAATTACCAAATCCCTATTTTCAACTTTAATGCTAAGGATTTCTACTATATCATTCATAGAGTTCAGCACTTCTGTGCAACAAAAAGTATCCTTTACATAGATTCCTACTCCTCCCTGTGACCTATTAATGCTATCACAACTATACATGTTGTAGTTTTCTATCTTTATATCTCCATTCAAAACATCCCTTGCACATGTTTCTGTAAATGCTCCAAACATGGCATTTGCTTCTGATAGGAGCCCACTGACATAGCTAACTTCGTCATTTTTATCTGATTTTAAACCCTGAATATTTGCAAATATGAAGCAGGAATTACCATTTGGGATGTTCTGTCTTGCTTTGTTTTGTTAGTACCACTGGTGATGTACTACCTGGAATGTCCCCTGGTGTACAAACCTCTGGCTTCTCTAGTACTGGCTTAGCATTTGGTTTCTTATTTGACCTTGATGAGCTGATGCCTGGTTTACCTTTGATATACCTTTAAAGTTTCGAGAGTTCATCTACTCTCTGAGCCTGGCCACGGGCCAGACTCGTACATTTGGTACGTCCCATTTTGCTGCCCATCTGTCCTCTCTGTACCATTCCCCCTGTTTGTCTTTTCCTTTGGTTCAATCTTCTCTTTTTGTCTAAAAACGATTGCTGTTCAATTTTCCTTTCACTGTTTTCTCTGTAGTGCCACATTCCTTTTATATGGCTTTCTGGACAGTTCAGGTCATAACATTCTCTGGACTGCATTGAGGCTTTATACATTACTGGATGGAAGTACCTGCACTCTTTGTTGAAACGACATTTTCCCTTCCTCAACATGTTAGTATATTTTCTGGTGTGTTTATTCCAGCAAACTCCTCCATATAGGCACATACCTTTTGCACAGTATCTCCAAATGTTCTGACTACCTATATTTACTGATTCTGTGTCTTTCCCAAGTTTTGCCACCTGATCTGAGCTCTCTTGTTCACTTTCTTCTAGGCGAATTTCTTCCCTTTTTTCATTTGTTCTTGCTCTAGCTTTCTCTTCCTCCCTTTCCCTTTCCTCTATGTTATGTATCCCTGTTTCTTTCTTTTCCAACTTGCTCTGTATGACGTTTTCTACTATTTCCCCTCCTTGGTTTTCACCTTTATTTGCATCTTCCTCCACTTTTTGTTCCTTACTCCCTGTTTTTCACTCTTTGTATATATCTGGCAAGCTCCTTAGAAACATTCCTTACACTTTCTAGGTTTTCACTTTTCAGTACCTCTCTTATGCCCGACCAGCTTTCCATCTCACTGGGGCAAATCCAGAAACAACTTTCTAGTTTTAGGTCATTTCTCATGGTTGCATGAAGCTTTGTACATGATATATGGGATTTTTACCACATATTTCACAATTAATGAACCTAATATTTCTCCCAAAAATTTTTCACATATACAACAGACCTTATTCCTGGCCATGATCACTTTAGGCAGGTGTACGTGGTGGGTGGTAGGTTATATGGGTGGGCTGGGAGGTGGGGTGGCTGGTAGGTGGGGAGGGGCTGGGCAGTGGGTATCCTTGGGTAGAGGGTACAGGTGATAGGAGGGAGGACTGTGAAGTGGGGTGGTGAGCTGGGAGGTGTGGATCCCTCATTCCCCATCTTCCCCACTTTCCTTTCTCCATCCTCCCCCACTCCTTTCCATCCTTCACCTTCTCCTTCCCTCATTATCTCCTTTCCACATTCTCTCCTTCCCATTCTCCCCCACTCTCCCCATCCTCCACCTTTTTCCTTCCATCATCCTCTCCCAATCTCTTCTTCCTCCACCCTCCCTCACTCTCTCCTTCCCTATCCTCCTCTCTTTCCTTCCTTCATCCTCCCCCTCCTTCACCATAATCCCCCTCCCCACTCCTTCTCCATCCTCCCACAGTCTCTCCATTCCCTATTCTCCCATTTTCCCAGTCTCTCCTTACCCCATTCTCTCATTCCTGCAGCATCCGTTCTTTTCTTCCTCCCCTCCATCTCCGTCTTTCTCCCTCCCTACCCCCCTCCCTCTCCTCCTCTCTCTCTCATCTTACCTCCATCTTATGCAAAGTCAGAATATGATTACTTACCTGTCTTGAATCAGTAATAATGAGTGGAGTGTACGAGGTGAGAGGTCGAGCATGAGAGTGTTGGTTGTCTTCTTGATGGGTGTGAGGTAACATGTTGGCCAGGTGATTGTTGAACAGGATCCCATGCTTGGTCATCACCCGAGAACCAAAGTATGTCCCTAACCCACTACAAAGATAAAATTCACCTCAAATAATTTTATGGAATTTGATATTGTCAACTGATTATCAATACCTTTACAATCAGGGAACTTACATATACAAAAACAAGTCTTGTTAAACAGCTTTAAAGATTAATTTGAAAAATAACACTGTTTAGCAAAGAAAAATACACAAAACTAACCAATATGATTTTTACATCTTTTTAAATGGTGTACATTATGTAATATCAGTTTTCGTGATCACCTAAAGATTTACATAGTAAGAGCAACCAAAATACACCAGAGCCTTTACAGAATGCATATTTGGCTATAAAACATTTTTAATTTCTTCCTACCCTTTGAAATCATAGAGTATTAAATTTAAATTTATCAGTTTCAACCTCAAAAAGCCATAACATTTGGCCACTATATGACTCAGTCAATCCAGGTACATTTCATTAGTTTCAAAAGGCAAGATTTTGTCACCACCACTGCACATTAACCCTTGGAGTGTCCGTCCCATAGTTTTATGGCTTCGAAGCCTGGTTCCAAGCTGTAGTACTACGTCATGAGCTCAGCTCACTTAGTTAAGCTGTGAGCGGTAAATTTGGGCCTAGACATGAGAGAATGCATCTATCTGGTAAGTGTGCACCATATAAAACAAATCCTGCAGCACACAGTGCAAAATGAGAAAAAAGTAACCAAGCATGTTTTTGGATTAAACAGCAACTGCAGTGTATTTTCATATTGTTATGGTTGTATTCGTGGTTTCTTGGTCTCATTTGACAGAATGGAGTATATATTATGGAAAAAGAGATGATTCTGATTGGCTTTAGTAGTGAAAATAGCTTGAAATTGAGCTCAAAGTAGCGGAAATCTTCAATTTTTGCCGATGTTCAAGAGTAAACAAAATACATCATGCATTCAATACATGTCAGTTGGTGGGTTTAATGTGTGTTCACGAATGTGCTGATGTTATTTATACAATTATTACAATATTGCATAACAGTAAATCTTCTATTTTTTGGTGTGAATAAAAATTTATGTGAATAAAAAATAAAAATGGAATTCATCTGTAAAACCTGGAAACGTTACTAATAAACAGAGGAAATGTTATTTTAGTGCCAAGAATGCCTGCATTGACTATTCTGGACCCTATTTTGAAATTGGAATATTCTGAACTTTGTGTGAAATCGGCCAAATTACCAATTTCCAATTACTTTATTACATAATTGAATAGCTGACTGGGCGATTTCTTCTGCTCAATAGATAAAATGGAACACATATTAGCGAAATAGCTAAGAATTTGGTCTAATGGAACAATGTAATTGGCCGAAAATAGGACTCAAAGTGGGCAAAATTGCCGATGCATAAATATCACTGACAGCAAAATTCATGAGAGCGTAATTTTGTAAATTTTTTATCAAATTTCGTACTTTTTATTTTATTACCTTCAGAAAAAGATTCTCTACCATTTCATAAGAAAAAAATATTTTTTTTTTTTTTTTTATTCCAGGACCCCATGGGGAATTTTCAGATTGAGGGGTCTGGACCCTCAAAGGGTTAAGCTTGGTCTCCTCAAACTGGTCATGGCAGTGGACAAGGACTTGATAAAGCCCACACAGTGGACTTCATCAAGTCATGAACAGCTTTTTTTGTGACTTGATAAAGACCACTCTGTGGGCAAAACTTTCTCAATAAAGGATCACATTACACTGCATTCATGTCCAATGGGTTACTTGGCAGACATGGATGTCCACTATATGGCAATGGTGGATCAAATGATGCAAAGTTATCAATGACTGGACTGTAACATGTAACTCGTGCTGAATTTCTCTCTCTCACATTTGTCTTTCTTTCACCTTACAACCTATCTGACCTATGAGTATAGATAAAGATTACATTAAGATGTTGCAGAAATGGATAAAAGCTGCAATATAAAAAGGGGTGCAAAGGTGACATTAAAATATAATATCAAACATGGTTGACACAAACCCACTACCATTACAGTATGCTCCTTCCTTAGTGACGAATTCGTTTATTGACATGGTCCTAGGAACAGAACTCTGTCGTTAAGTGAAGAGAGGCAGTAGTGTACTGTATAATGTAATAAACAGAAGAGAGGAAATCAGCTCTAATATATATTATTTAGGTATGCATACTGGTCAGAGAGCCTGTTGTAAGTCCGAGTCGTCAGTAAACGAGTGTTTCGCTAAGTGAGGTGAGGCAGTATACAGTATACTCAAAGTAACTCGAGATAATGAATATGATAATTGAATAAAGAGATGAACCTACAGGTCTATGGAGTGAGAGTGAATCCTATACTAGAGAATGCTTGGTCAAATCAAAACAGTAATCAGAACTTACACAACAGTTGTGACATACTGATCAAAGGTATCAATAACTGAAACAGAAGAGGCAACTTGTTCAGGAAGGTGTGGTATGTTGGGATCAGCTTGAGTCACAGAAGAATCTATTGATTCATGCGAGGTCGATGACAGCAGCAATTCTGTCATATTCTGAAGTGCAGTTTCATTTGCAGAAGCTGTTGATATAAATAAAAGCATAAAACATTATTTTTACAGCTTCATACTTTATCATCTTTTACATTTAGAGACATCGTGGTATATTAACAAATCGTCATACTATATGCTTACTGGTTATGTTGATTAGAATTGAATACCTTCATATTACTCATATTTACCCAAAGTCAAAGAAAGTAAATAGAACATTTAACCCTTCCAGTGTCACAACCCCTGTTCACAACCTTGCTCCCAGAGTTGATGAATTTAAAAAAAAAATTATCTTATGAAATGACAAGAGAATCTTTTTCCGAACGTAATAAAACCATAAGTACAAAATTTGACGGAAAACTTACAGAATTACGCTCTTGCAAAGTTAGAGGTCTTGGCAATATTTACGCATCAGCAACTTCTCCCACATTACACTATTTTTGGCTAATTCCATTGTTTCAGATGATCAAACTCGTAGCTATTTTGCTAGTATTCCTTCCATGCTATCGAATGAGTACAAGAAACTGCCCATTTACCTATTTCAACTACCCAATAAAGTTATCAGAATCTGTAATTTGGCCAATTTCACACAAAACTGAACTACCAATTTGAAAACAGGGTCCAGAATAAACAATGTAGACATTCCTGGCACTAAATAAACATTTCCTCTGCTCTGTAGTCATGTCTCAAGGCTTGCTTTTCATTTTAAATTTTTATTCACACAAGAAATAGAAAATTTATTTTTATGCAGGCTACTACATTATTGTAATAATTGCATAAATAATGTTAGTGCATTCCTAAATGTGTATTATGTATTAGACTGGCCAGTTGGACACATATTGGACAAGTGACATCATTTGTGTACTCTGGAATATCAGCAAAAATCGAATATTTCCACTAACTTGAGCTCAATTTCAAGCTACTTTCAGTCCTGCAACTAATCAAAATCATCTCTATTTCTGTAATACATCTTCCATTCTATCAAATGAGACCAAGAAACCAAGTATACAACAATAAAAAAACATACAAAAATACACTGCAAAGTCGCTGTATTAAACCAAAAACATGGTCGCAGTTTTCATTTATTACTAGAAAGGAAATTTTTCCTTGTATTAATTCAGGTGCCTATTGTCATCATTTTTTTTTTTTTAACATGTCAGTCGTCTCCCACCAAGGCAAGGTGACCCACAGAAAAAAGAAAAATGCTATCATCATCATTCAACGCTTTCACTTCACTCATACATAATCAATGTCTTTGCATAGGTGCTCAGATACGACAGTTCAGAAGTCCCTCCAAACTGCCAATATCCCAAACCCCTCCTTTAAAGTGCAGGCACTGTACTTCCCATTTCCAGGACTCAAGTCCGGCTAACCAGTTTCCCTGAATCCCTTCACAAAATATTACCCTGCTCACACTCCAACAGCTCGTAAGGGTCCCAAAAACTAATCGTCTCCATTCACTCCTATTTAACACGCTCATGCATGCTTGCTGGAAATCCAAGCCCTTCCCTCCAACCTTTTCGAGGATGACCCCTACCCCGCCTTCCTTCCCCTACAGATTTATACGCTCTCCAAGTCATTCTACTTTGATCCATTCTCTCTAAATGACCAAACCACCTCAACAACCCCTCTTCAGCCCTCTGACTAATACTTTTAGTAACTCCACACCTCCTAATTTCCACACTCCTAATTCTCTGCATAATATTTACACCACACACTGCCCTTAGACAGAACATCTCCACTGCCTCCAGTTGCCTCCTTGCTGCAGCATTTGCAACCCAAGCTTCACACCCATATAAGTGAGTTGGTACCACTATATTTTCATACATTCCCTTCTTTGCCTCCAATACAGTATAAACTAAGTATTCTTATTCTCACGTACTATATGTCTCACTGTCTAGTAACTATAAGTTAGTTTTAAGACTGCCAGAAATGCCTTGCATAACATGGGCTTTCTATAAAGTACAGTGGTCCCTCGCTTTTCATAGTTCTCGGCAATCGTAAATTTCACCAATCATAGGGGTATTTTCGTATAAACATGGACTTGCTTTTCATAGGTTGACTCGCGAATAGTAGTTCGTCCGGGACGCGTATGCACGGTGTGAGCCGGGGCGGCCTCCCTACCCAGCCAGTCTGGCATTGTTTACCAGTGAGTGAAGGTCCCCTCAAGTGCTCCTACGAAATATTTCATAATATTCCACTCATTTTAGTGCTTGAAAATTTACTAAATAACTACCATGGCTCCAAAGAAACTCCTACCAAGCCTGTGTAAAGAAGGGAGAAATATGTAAGTGACAAAGTTTTGGGGCCCTTTTGGGGGAAGTGTTAAAGAGGCCCAAAAACGAGCCTCTCCCATTTTCTTTGGGGAACGGGGGCTAAGTGCTCTCAAGGTGGTCAATGGCATTAACCTTTCAGGGTCCTTCCCGTAGATCTAGGGGCTGGTGGGTGAGTGCCCAAAAACCGTAGATCTACCCCAAAATTCTCCCGTAAAATTTAGCGCAAAAGCGCTCATGGGCCACATATGAGAGAAGGGGTGCCCAAAAAAAAAAATCTAGGCGCCTGCATAGCTTTGGGGGAATCCCGGCTCATCACCCTTTGTTCACATGCCTCGCGCAAGTCGCTCTCACCCCCCCCGGAAAATTTGGGACTCTCCTTTTCCTTTGATAGTTCTGACACTGAGGGGAAGTGGAAATGAAGACAATTCTACGGCTTTGAAAAGTTATGACCGAAAATAATGACCAGGAATCGTTAAAGTGCGGGAAAACCCCCGACGATCCTCGCCCTTCTCCCTTTGGTGTGGGCACTCGGACTCACGGTCGGGTGTTCCTAAACGTAAGAAAAACTAATTTTTTTCCCGGGGCCAGGCCCTGACTTCATAATGACGATGTTTCTGACGGGGGATTGTGATTTTATTGCCTGACATCATTGGGTTTGTGTAGTGAGGAAACATTTTCACCAGTGAAGATGGGTTGTTCGCCCCCGCTACGCTGGGTAGTGTACCCTATCTTGCCCAGGGGAGGGGATACATCCCGGAGTACACCCCGGAGTACATCCCGGGAACACCCGGGGGCCCAACCCCGTTTTAGGTATGAAGTGAGATGATGTGGCTACCTTGGCGGGAGGGCCACAGACATCGTGGATGGTGTTAGTGGGGCTGGTGATGGTTTGGCACCCGCCAGCGTGACTGCTGTGCCCCCCGGGACCCACGCGCTGACTCGCAGTTAAAGGAAAAAGGGGAGATCCCCCACCAGCCCGCCACAACCACCCTAAAACCCAGCCTATGTTTTGCCCAGTATCCCCAGCAAACCTTTTGGGATTGGCAAAAAACCCCCAATTTGTTCCCACCCTCCCACTTGATGACTCTCAAAGGGGAATTTCTACCTACCGTCCCCTTTGGGAACCAGGACAATGAAGGGAATTCTTTGATTTTTCTTTGACCAAAAGCATTGGGGGAAATTTTTGTCAGGGAAATAAAAATTTTTTTTCAGTACACCAGGCAAATACATTTATCACCACTCAAGATACCAGGGGAAAAGGGGCAAACGTTGCAGAAATGTATTTGCTTTTTGCAACAAAAGCTTTCCCTCACGTCTATAAAAAAAATTTAAAACATACGGTCCACAAACGGCTAATTTGGGCCCCACCTTCAGTGAAATAATACCATGAACAGGTTTATCTTCTGTTACTATGTTCATTTTTGACAAAACCAGGGCCCGAAAATGACATTATACAAGATTAGAAAGTTTTTATGACTCAAAAAAAAGTTCAGGTATACTTTTATCCATTCAAAATTTGTAAATTTCGAGTCTTTTATTTGTTCAAAGGAGACTGTCATTCAAGCAGTATTACCGGCAAAAGGGAAACCCCTTTGGGATAAAATTTTTGTACTCTGTGATTTGACAGTGGCCTGGTGTTTGGGTATTGTTGTATACACTAGTAAAACATTTTAAAGATACCAAGATGTTATTGGTAATCAGGGGGGTATGAGAAACACATGGCACCTTACTTTGGGAAAGGGGCCATACATTATATACCGATAACTGGTACACAAGCCCATTACTCAGTGATTTCATGCGAGTGAACAAGCGATTGGGGACGTGCTTCTATCGTAAAAACCCGCCCCGGCTCAAGCAGGGGTTCGTGGTGATGACGGCAGGTGTTTTTGCCCAAAGAAACATGGATTACGGGCATGACAAACGGATGTCACATTGTTGACAACCAATTTTACCGTAATGAAATGCAAGACAGTGGCAAAATTTATCAGTTTACTAAAGAAAGTATTCGAAAACCTGACAGGATGATTATACACAAAAAATGCGCTTGGTTGACAAGTGTGAATGCAATTGGTTTTTTTGACTTGTTCGTTTAAAAGTTACAAGTGGTACATGAAAAATTTTCTTCCCTCCATGGACATTTCAATGCGAAAGCATAAAAATGTACCAAATAAAATGGAACAGACCCCCGTATGGTGAATTTTTTTTTTTTGTTTTCAGAAACTCATAATAAGTACCCGGTAACAACACCTGAAAAACAAATGGTCCTCGAATTCAACAAAATACCCAAACGTTTTGGGAAAGAAGGTATCATTTCATAATACAGCCCCCCCAAAAGAAATTTGCTCAGAAAGATGCATTGTCTGTGCAAAAAAAAACGACGGCAACAAAGAGCAAAACACTCGGTTTATGTGTGGGAATGTAAGGTGCCTCTGTGATGGTGCCTTGTTCAAGGAGTTCCACAAGCTCCAGCAGTTCTAAAACCATGTCCAGTATTGTAAATATTTAAAAATTTTATGAAAATTATTTTAAATATTTGTGAGTTTTTTTTAACCCTTTGAGGGTCAAAAGGCCCCTCCGAAACCTTCTCAGGGGCGGGCCAAATTTTAAAAAAAAAAAAAAAATTTTTTTTTCTTTGAAAAAAAAGATTTTTTTTTTTTAAAATTTTTGGATAAACAAAAAAAAATTTTCCCTCAATTTTACGAGATATGGATGCAGAAGTTTGCAGAAATGAGCCCCGTATGGCAACGCGGCGATGCCGCTCACCCGGAAACTTTGGGTTTTCTTTTA